ACCAAAATAAAAGCAAGTTAGGTCCTGTTATCATTCCTTTTCTAAAGATGAGGAATTGATTAGACAAATATTACTAAACTGTTCCTACTACCACCACGATGAAAGAAAACAGGAATAGGCTGTATATAAGGCAATCAGTTAATAGTAGTTTATTCTAATTAGGGGATGAGCACTAGGCTAAGGAAGAAAAGAAAAAAGTATGAATCCCTGAGGCTAAGACAAATGATGGGTTTTGTCCCTGTGAAGAAGACTTTTTCATTTTCTAGGCAGTTTATCACTCCTGAGCACCACTACTTCAACATTTTCATTGCTTCTCAAACTGCCTTCAGATTAGATCCTCAAATTATAGCACAAACATTGCCCAGCTAAGTGGAGTGGGGCTTAAAAGTAATAGGAGTGACCAAGGACTACTTCAGCTTGGGCATCGGAGAATGGTAATGCTCTTTACTCAAATGGTGAGTTGGGAAATGGAGGTAATCAGGAATATGAAATTGTGGAGTGGGCAGAAGAGTTATCTTAGATGTATTGGGTTTCTTTGCATTGATGCCTGGACTTTGGGAGAAAGCCAAATGAAGGATGCCTAAGGAAAGCAAAAGATTCAGGCCTGGAGCTGGGCTGGGTGGCTCACGCCTGTAATCCTAGCACTCTGGGAGGCCGAGGCAGGCGGATTGCTCAAGGTCAGGAGTTCGAAACCAGCCTGAGCAAGAGCAAGACCCCGTCTCTACTATAAATAGAAAGAAATTAATTGGCCAACTAATATATATAGAAAAAATGACCTGGGCATGTTGGCGCATGTCTGTAGTCCCAGCTACTGGGGAGGCTGAGGCAGGAGGATTGCTTGAGCCCCGGAGATTGAGGTTGCTGTGAGCTGGGCTGACGCCATGGCACTCACTCTAGCCTGGGCAACAAAGTGAGACTCTGTCTCAAAAAAAAAAAAAAAAAAGATTCAGGCTCGGGACTATGGTGAATAATTGAAGTTCAACCAAACATTTGGAAATTATTCAGCAGGGTGGTAATGGTTAAAACCACTAAAATGGATCAGCTCTCTGAGGTGGTGAATAAAAGGAAGAGCAACATATTTAGTTTTGGGGTTGTTCATGAGAGTCTGAAGTGAGCTCAGGAGCTTAATTGTGTATACATCATTTTAATAGCAATTTTCAGAGTGCTTTTCAAAGGATAGTTTCCCACAAAATCTCCATAAAATGGGATGATGTAATTTTTAAAAGCCCACAATATTCTTAAACTCTATAATCCTAATAATTGATTTATTTTAGGATTAAATGCTATTGCAAGGCATGTCCTGGCCTAATGGACAGTAGTATTATTATATTATTTCATCTGAAGTTGAAATTCATTAAAAACATACTAAATAAGCCATGTTATAAAATGGGGGAAGAAAAAGAGAATTATATTAAAGAATTGATTTCTAAGAAAAATTGCTATAAGACTAGCTTCTAGGAAGCCAAGGCAAAAAGTGAGCATGGTGAAGTAACTATGTATTGTCACATGTAGAGTTCTTGAGACCCAGTATATTATTAATATCACCCAGGCCCTCCCTCATCTGGAGATTCTGATGAATGGTCTTACAGCTGGGAAGCTGTGTATGTTTTTAAAGTTCCCTGGATGATTCTGATAATCAGGCAGATTTGACAAGCACTACTCTAATAAAGGAGACATACCAGTTCACAGGAGAGAAAAACTTTTTTTCTAGCTCTGTACTCTGAAAAAGATTTTGTTCCATGGACATTGAAGAACACTTAATAACATAGACAATATCCTCAATAGAATTAAAAAAACAAACAGAGATTTTATGTCTGTGTCTTTATACTGACCTTTGATAAAATAAAAACCAAGAACATAATGTTAAATTATTATTCTGTTGCTGTAGGAAAAGAATCATCTGGGATGACTGAAAAAATTCTTTGGCCCTCTTCAGAAATTCAAATATTAAGATGCACCATTTGTAATATTTTCACCATATTTGAAAATTGAAGAAGGGGAAGAAAGCAGGGTGAATCTATTTCTACAAAGTAGGAAATATTCCTGTGGTATAAAACTAGAATCCTTTTTCTAGTTAAACTTAATTATTAAAAGCATAGGTTGCTGGCTGGTCTGAAGGTAGTGAGTGAGTTACCTCACTTGATTGTTCACAGTCAGTTACAGATTGAATTCCTTGTTCTACTACTTTCCCCTCTTCTCACTACTGTACCTGACTACTCAAAAAGGAAAGGAAAAAAACAAAAGTATAGGTTGCTTCATATGCCATTAGAGTAGATATTAATGTCACCCTAAAAGGAAGAAGTTGATATTCAGTAGATTAAAACTTTTGGAATTATGGATAAAAATGAGAAAACTAGTTTACTAGTCTTTTGGTAGAGATGCAATTAAAACACTTAAGTATCAAAGATATCACAGTATTAATATAATCATTCATAATATAAGGTCATATACATGTGTCCTGAATTGCTGCAATCTTACATATTTGGAAACATCTAATTTGTAGCAACACATGCTTTTCCAGATTGGTCTTTATTTTCAAATACATCAAGAAAAAAATATTATTTTTTTTTTTTTGAGACAGAGTCTCACTTTGTTGCCCAGGCTAGAGTGAGTGCCATGGCGTCAGCCTAGCTTACAGCAACCTCAAACTCCTGGGCTCAAGAGATCCTACTGCCTCAGCCTCCTGAATAGCTGGGACTACAGGCATGCGCCACCATGCCCGGATAATTTTTTCTATATATATTAGTTGGCCAATTAATTTCTTTCTATTTATAGTAGAGACGGGGTCTTGCTCTTGCTCAGGCTGGTTTCAAACTCCTGACCTTGAGCACCGGCCTCAGTCACCCAGAGTGCTAGGATTACAGGAGTGAGCCACCACACCCGGCCAAGAAAAAAATATTAAGGGGAATGCTTCCTTATGGTCATTAGCCATCCCAAACTTCTTAAAAATACTAGTAAAAATAAGTAAGGGAATCTGCCACATAAGTGTTAGTGTTCCTGCAGATTTTGTAGAGGGTAACTTGACCAACCACGGAGAAAAAGTGGTGTTGGCTGGAGACTCTGAGGGATAGAGGCTGAGTCTTTTCTGTCTTTACATGGCTAGTTACTGAATCCTAAATTGGATTGACCTCTCAATAAGAGAAACTTTGTGGTATCGTAGATCTTTAATACTCTATGTTGTGACTGAAAAACAAAGTTGAGATCTATCATAGACCTATAAACGGCACTCTGGTGGATTCAGGTAACCTTGCGTCTAATTCTCTTTAGATGGTTTTCATGCTGCAGTGAAACTTTAAGGTCATGGAAGGGCTGGGCGTGGTGGCTCACTATAATCCTAGCACTCTGGGAGGCTGAGGCGGGAGGATCGCTCAAGGTCAGGAGTTTGAAACCAGCCTGAGCAAAAGCAAGACCCCATCTCTACCAAAAATAGAAATTAATTGGCCAACTAAAAATATATAGAAAAAATTAGCTGGGCATGGTGGCATATGCCTGTAGTCCCAGCTGTTCCGGAGGCTGAGGCAGAAAGATTGCTTGAGCCCAGGAATTTGAAGTTGGTGTGAGCTAGCCTGATGCCACAGCACTCTAGCTGGGGCAACATAGTGAGACTCTGACTCAAAAAAAATATATAAATAACGGTCATGAAAGTCTTTGACTTCAGTTCATCTTAATTCTCTAAGTCTTCAGTCTAGATATTACACTAGGTGCAGGAGTTCCTTTTAGGGAAAACTTTATGCTTGAAAATAGTATTCATTTAAGAAGATGAACTTAAAGATTCTTATCTTTAAACCTAAGTTAGCATTAAATAATGCATGTACCTTTCATTGTTTCTAATTCCTGATAATTTTTTTTTTTTTTTTTTTTGAGACAGAGTCTCACTCTGTTGCCCGGGCTAGAGTGCCATGGCGTCAGCCTAGTTGACAGCAACCTCAAACTCCTGGGCTCAAGCAATCCTTGAGCCTCAGCCTCCCAAGTAGTTGGGACTACAGGCATGTGCCACCATGCCCAGCTAATTTTTTCTATGTATTTTAGCTACAACATTTTACATTCCCACCAGCAAGGCACAGGATTTCAATTTCTCCACATTCTCCCCAACATTTGTTATTTTCTCTTCTTTTAAAAATATATGAATAATAGCCATCCTAATGGGTGTGAGGTGGTATCTTGTGGTTTTCATTTGCATATCTCTAATGATTAGTGATGTTGAGGATCTTTTCATAATGCTCATTGGCAATTTGTATACCTTCTTTGGAGAAATGTCTGTTCAAGCTCCTTGTAGACATTTTTGAATTGGGGTTTTTTCTTATTGCCGAGTTTACAGTTATTTTGTAATATGGAACAGTTTTGGGAATACACCAAGTTTCCAAGGCATGAGAGTAAGTGTTAGAATGATATGAAAATGCTAGGGCCTTGGAAAAAGAGGCAGAAGGATGTAAGGATTTCTAAGAAAATTTCAAGTCTTACTTTTAGGGGAGAGTAAAGGAAGTATTCTTAGGATTCTGAGCTTTTTATTATAGTATTGTAGTTTGGCAACTTTAAATAAACATTGGTGGGTTACCCTGTGAACCTAACCACCAAATAAGAACACTACTTGTATACAAAAAGGCCCTGTCTTATATCCTCTAACATAAAAACAAACTTTTTACATATAATTCATATATAAACTGATGACTATACACTAAAATCTAAACTTGGAAAGTACAGTGGTTGTACTAATGCAAGGGTCCCCAACCTATGTTGAGTTGTATAATTATTTCATTATATATTACAATGTGATAATATAAATAAAGTACACAATAAATATAATGTGCTTGAATGATCCTGAAACCATCCCCCACCCCATCCCCAGTCTGTAGAAAAACTGTCTTCCATGAAAATGGTCCCTAGTGCCAAAAAGGTTGGGGACCGCTGCAATGGATTACATAAATAATTACTTATCATATAATACTTTTAATGGGGAATTTAATATTTTTCAACTACCAAAAATTGATTTGCACAAATCATTTGTGGGATACCATTATAATACACATGATACAGAACTACAGAACCAATACATAATCATGATATAATTGATTGAAACATGAAAACAAAGCTGATATCTACAGATATAGACAAGGGTTGAGGAAAAGGAAGGATTACATAGAAATCTGTGCTGTTAACTGAAGTAGCTAGAAAAAAATACTACTATTGACCACTGGTAATAGATAACTTATATCCAAATAATTACACAAATTTTTAATATTTTTAAAGCAACCATTTTACATAATCTATTAAAAATTGATAAATTGTTAGATTCTGAATTTTTGGTAAAATGTAAGATGAAGGTTAGATAAATAACCTATATTATAGATGATGTATAATGTAATTTATATATTTTAGAATAAATATGACATTATTGTAAAGTATTCTAGGGTTATTTTCAGTGTTTTACACTCTATATTCTCTATAAATAATCCATAGTTAAGAAAACATACCATTCTCTAACAACAAAACAAAGCTTTCATTAATCTAAAACTAAAGGTTGGCTTTCCATTTCTTGTCAGGATCTGTGTTGCTAACTGTGGAAAGAAAATCAGAGAGTAAAAATTTAACAACAGATAAGTAAATGCACTGGATTTTAGGTTAACTTGTGGCTAGAAAAAGCATTCATCATTAAAATAATTTTGTTGCTCAGTATAAAGCTGGAATTTTTTTTTTGTACACATAAAAACTGAAGCTTCTACAAGAAATTTAAGTTTTGAACCTCTTGATTTTAAGGGTTAAATTTCTATAAAGATTACTAATTTGACAATTTAACACTAATAAATAATTACAGATTTACTGCTTTACTATCTTTTGAGTTTACTACCTTTATTACCGCTTAAAACCTTTGCCTGTTTTCAAATCTACCACATGTAAAATTCTTTGTGGTTCTGGGGTCTGAAAAAGAGAAGTTATCTTCCTACTATATGCCTTTGATTATCATTCTGGTTGGTAAGGACTGGAACCCTAAGAGAGATGCTAAGTCCTAACCAACTTTTGGTTCCAATTTTTGGTCAGCCGGCCTTGTGCTACTGACCTTCCTAGTTTCTGTCTCTCCAACTTAAAGAGATATTCAAAGGAGAACTTTGATAGGTGGTGTTTTTCCTAAAAGGAAACTAGTGCATCTTTGAAAATATATTAAATACTGGCAATAAAAGAATTAAAATTTGGAAGTATACTCACATATTTTTCCGTCTTTTTCTAGTTTTCTCAAATGAAGTGAAAGATTATGTTCAGCCGCTCTATGTAAATGTTCAGGAGTATTCTAAAAGAAAAATGAGGGTGAAAGAAAAATACTTGTTTTTTTTTTTTTGAGACAGAGTCTCACTTTGTTGCCCAGGCTAGAGTGAGTGCCGTGGCGTCAGCCTAGCTCACAGCAACCTCAAACTCCTGGGCTCAAGTGATCTTCCTGCCTCTGCCTCCCAAGTAGCTGGGACTACAGGCATGCGCCACCATGCCCGGCTAATTTTTTTTTTGTATATATATTTTTAGTTGGTCAATTAATTTCTTTCTATTTTTTAGTAGAGATGGGGTCTCGCTCAGGGTGGTTTAGAACTCCTGACCTCGAGCAATCCGCCCGCCTCAGCCTCCCAGAGTGCTAGGATTACAGGCGTGAGCCATCATACCTGGCTGAAAAACACTTTTTATTAAAAAAACAACACAATTTTTCTTTCTGTTTTTAGTAGAGACGGGGTCTGGTTCTTGCTGGTCTCCAACTCCTAAGCTCAAGCAATCATCCTGCCTTGGCCTTCCAGAGTGCTAGGATTACAGGTGTGAGCCACCATGCCCAGCCCAAATTATTCTTAGTTTTGATGATGCTACAGACAGCTGGCCCTATGGTTTATTGATTAGGTTATAGGATAATATCTTTGTACATTTTAATAAAAGTATGTATATTTCAACATTAAAACTCATAATTTTTCCTTCCTTTTGCTAAAATAGCAATGTAATATTGACAACTGTTACCTGAATGAAAAACAAAGCGACATTCCTTTTATTTATTTTTTTAGAGACAGGGTCTGGCTCTGTTGCCCAGGCTGGAGTGTAGTGGCCTGATCATAGCACACTGCAGCCTCAAACTCCTGGGCTCAAGCAATACTCCTGCCTCAACCTCCCAAGTAGCTGGTACTACAGACAAGCACCACTATGCCTGAATAACTTTCCTATTTTTTTATAGAGATAGGGTCTTGCTATGTTGCTATGGAATTCCTGGTGTCAAGCAATCCTCCCTACTCAGTCTCCTGAGTAGCTAGGACTACAGGTGCACACCAGCATACCTGGCTACCTTTTATTCTTCAAATAAGGATTATATTTCTAAAGCCCAGCTTCTTGACTAAATTCACTTTCTCTACTTCTCAGCTCCCTGAAAATGTTTTGCCAAGATCATCAAATTATCTCAGTCAAAATTCAATAGATTCTTTTAGTCTTATCATACCTGAAAGTCCACTGGCTAGTCTCTCCCTTTTGAAGATCTCTTCTCTTTTTTCTGTTGGTTACCCTCTCTCTCTCTTACACTTAATCTTCATTGGATATTCTTCCTAACTTCTCTTAAATATTGATGTTAACAATGAGTTGTATCATCAGCTCTCTTCTCTTTTTTACTCAGCCAACTGACCACAGCAATCGTGCACTAATGATTCCCAAATCTAAACTCCCAACACCAAACTTGCCCTTAAGCTCCAGTACCATATACTGTATCTACCAATGTCATCTTCCAGATCTTACTATGTACTTCCCTAAGATCCTTGAATGATCATTTCCAGATTATTGGCTAAAGCCCCAATTTTTTAGCTAGCAGTAAAGGTTTGCCATGATGTGAGTATGCCTCCGTTTCCTCCCTTATTTCCTGGAACTCCCTTCCTGTCCATCCACATATGCAACCTGTGCTCCAGTCACATGTGGTTTCTTTGTGGGGTTTCAAACACACAATACTCTTTTATTATTCTTAGTGTTTGAACAGATTTTTCCTTCCATCTAGAATAATTTCTTTCTCCTCTAAGCCTTTCTGAAGGCTTTCCAGACAAGTACTATATATAAAGCACTTAGTATAGTGTCTAGCATGTAGTAATGTGCTATATAAATGGAAACAATTATGATAGAGCCAGTATTACGACTATCTGTTGAACATATCTGTCTTCACTAAACCATGAATCCCTGGGAACAGGGATCTGTAGTCATCTTTTTATCTGTTGAATGAATAAATCATTCTGTAATACCTAATGCCATTCCACATGCAACAGGTGCTTCACACATAATGTACAGTGAAGACACTTATGAATACACACTGATAGGTCACTGAATACTGCCAACAGAAAAGAAAAAAAAAAACCACACACCAAATACACTTCTGAATGCAGAATAAACTTATTTTTTGAGACAAAGGCTTGCTCTGTTGCCTAGGCTAGAGTACAGTGATGTCATTATAGCTCATTGCAACCTCAGACTCCTGGGCTCAAATGATCCTCCTGCCTCAGCCTCCTGAGTAGCTGGGACTACAGATGTGTGCCACCATGGTCGGCTAATTTTTAAACATTTTTTGTAGAGATGGGTCATGCTATGTTGCTCAGGCTAGTCTTAAATTCCTGGGCTCAGGCGATCTTCCTGCCTTGGCTTCCCAAAGTTCTAGGATTACAGTCACTGGGCTTGGCAAGAATCATCATATTTTTAGGCATGGGCAGTTACTTGATGACTCATTGCTGAGGGTTATCAGAGTGTTCTACTACCTGTTTTTAGGTTAGGGGGGAAAAAACCCCCAATGTACCAATGTATGGCCTACAATGGCTATACTCTGGGATTATGAAGAATTGGACTGTTTCTCAATATTTAAATATTTATATTATTCTTTTGCCAATGACATTTAATATCCTTACAGACATTTTAATCATTCATTTCTCCTTTTTAAAACAAAGCACAATGAGTATGAATTAACTATTTCTTGATAACTTTGGACTATGGGATATTAAGGCCCTTTACTAATTTTAACTGGCTCCAGGTTGCCTTTCCAAATTCATCTTTAGTTACAATCTCTTGTATCTTATGGCTGTACAAGTTGTAGTAGTGAGAGTTTTTAAACCTAGGTAATCTTACTCCAAGGCCTTCATTCTTAACCTCTAAGCCAGGGGTCCTCAAACTTTTTAAACAGGGGGCCAGTTCACTATCCCTCAGACCATTGGAGAGATGGATTATAGTTAAAAAAAAACAAACTATGAACAAATTCCTATGCACACTGCACATATCTTATCTTGAATTAAAAAAAACAAACGGGCAAAAACACCTGCACGTGGCTTGTGGGCTGTAGTTTAAGGACACCTGCTCTAAGCTATAGTACCTACAGAGCAGACATCTAATAAACATTTGCTGAAAAACTGAATTTCACTAGCTGATTGCCACATAGAGTTATCATACTTACAGTGATGTACTCAGAGGCCACTGGGGTGTAAGGTTTTTTCACTATATACTAAATTATTCATGTTCTTTGATATGTATTTTCTCCTTCTTCTCCATTGTTGGGCATTGTTACTACTTGCTGCTATTACTCCAATATTTGTTTCTAGTGATCATCCCTTCTCACTTGCAGACTAGGACACTAGATAATCAAGATGGCTAGAATAATATATAAACTTAATCATTAGGCTGTCATTAGGAGTTTCTCCTACAGAGTAAAGTATATAAGGTTTAATGATGGCTCAGGATAGCTATTTTTGTTCTCTAAGGCCAGTATTTGTTGAACATCAGTGTTCTAGAAAGTCGAGACTGCTGGTCTCAAATCTAGACAAGTATCATAACATAAAATTAACAGACTTGTTTTGATCTGGTATATGGTGAATTTATCATATTTATAGCCTATTAAATAGATTATTCTAATAAATTCATGACTATGTACAAATAAAAATTACCTTGTAAATAATTTTTACAAGCTCCATTACTGTAAATGATTTTTCAAAGTTCTCACGAAATACTGTAAGAATCTGCTGTTCTCGGATATTTCTGTGAGAAATGTACTGCAGAATTTTAGCTTCGGCATTATGGATTACTGGGCCATGTCCTAAATTAAAATAATTATAAAAATTACTTCAACCAGATAAAAAATATTAAGTACAACTGAAGGTAACTCTATTTAAAAGTAACTCATTTGGTGTAGTGAGAAAGCATACTAAATATATAAATATAAATTATTTGGAAAGCTATACAGGTATGAAAGATTTAAGATTACATATAATGCCTCTCAAAATAGAAAATTATAGCAAATAAAATATATAGAAAATGTTATTGTGTACATTAAAAAATATAAAATAAAAAATTAAAAACAAAATGTGGTAATTAAAACAGCAACAACAATTAACAGATAATGTTTATGGAGTGCTTCCTATGTGCCATGCACCACTCTAAATGCTTCATATACATTATTCTTACAAGAATCTCATGAGGTAGGTACTATTATTATCCATTTTTAAGAACAGAAACTGAGGCATAGAGAAGGTAAATAACCTGCCCAGTTGCATAGCCAAGAAGGGGTGGAGCTGCAATTTTCACTTGGGAGCTCATAACCACTGTGCTAAGCTTACTTATAAAAGACAGCTTCATATAAGTGAATAATACTAACAATTCACAAGACCCATACTAGAACTTTAAGAATCTTATGTATAGGATAGTGATTCAGAAATTTCGACAACCCAGATTAAGTTACACTGAAATTTACTTCCTCTTTAAGACAATGCAAATTAATATATTATACAAGTCTGCAAGGGTGATGTTTCAAATATCTGAGAACAAAGTATATGGAAGCAGGCTAACGCATGATTTGTATGGCTTTGATTAGACACAGACTATCGTTTATTAGCTGTGTGGCCATGAGGAAATCTCTTGATTTCTCTGAGCCTGTTTCTTCAGTTGTGTGATGAGGACACCACTACCTACTTCACAGGGTTTTTGTGAGGAGGACAGCTGTAAAGGCCTCTGTGCAACCTGATGGCTAGCAGGCTTTAATATATGGTAGCTATGGCCACAGAGCATAATTTACATAAAAACAACTGCTGTGCTAATAAAGCCAGTTCACTGGATTCACTAGAGCAAACACTCTAAGAACCTCTACCAGGTGGCCTCTTATTAACCCAGCTTCGATGTGAGTACGCCAAATGCCTACTCTCTACTTTTTAAAAATAGCTAGCAGTTTCCATTCCTTTTATGTCATAATGTTACTCTAAATGCCCAGCTCCACTGTATGTTTCCTATTCCCTCAGCAGTAGGAACTCATGAGAACATGGAAGTATACTGAAGACACTGTACTGACATCTTTCAATGGCTGTCTGGTTAGGAGCAAGTTAGAAGGAATTAGAAAATTAAGTAACCTAGTCCCATTTTCCTTCTAGGTCTTCTTACTGGGTCCTGTACCTTTCTTAGCTTTTGAGATGGAAAGGAGATTGATATTATAGAGCAATATAATATGAGATACTAACAAGTTTCCTTTTCTAGAGAACAGAAATAAATATACTATTTTACAGCTGAGATGAAGCTCTTGATATTTCAATATCATGAGTTAAGAAACTAGAGCTCAGAGGTCAAATGTTACTCAAGGTTACACAGTTACGATGTGGCCCACAGCAGAAATCAAGTTCACAAAAATGATGGTAGTGTATGGAATGAAAAAGTTTTCCTGTTCCAATGTAAGCTTATTTCTTTTTTTAACAGTTATATTAATAGCTGCTTAGATGTTGAAAAATAACCTTCATATCTTCATAAAAAGTTACTAATATAACTCTCGGCCTTCTCTTTAACTGCATGGCTCGATAAGATTGAGGGGTGTAATTTAAAGAAGAGGTCTATCTATCTATCTATCTATCATCTATCTATCTATCTATCTATCTATCTATCTATCTATCTATCTATCTATCTATCTATCTATCTATCTATATCTTCAAGGCTGAATACACAGAGATAAGCCAAAATCAATCTTTCTCATCATTTGACACAAATAGTTTGCTAGATTTAGAAAAGTACCCACCTGGATATATAATATCAGCTTTCATTTTCAATAATTTTTTTAGGGAGTTCATATAATCATAGAGATCTTCAAATACAGTTGTTCCTTCCCCTAGGATGCAATCTCCAGAAAAGAAAGCATTTTCCTCTTCTAAGAAGATAGCCATATGATCATCAGTGTGGCCAGGTGTATATATAACTCTGGTTGAAGGAAGAAATAAGAAATAGTAACAATTACAAACTCCTAGACTTAGGAGAAAATCTGAGAAGTAAATTATTCTCTATCTTTACCTTTGGACAAGACACAAATAAATGATGCCAATGAGTTAAAAAGCTCTTTTTTTCCCACGTGCCCACTAAAAATTACCAGAAAACTGTCCCCTTTAACTAAATCAAATTTCTCATTCTGAAGTGTATATTTAACACTCCTCCCACCTTTCCCCCTTATTTTATAATAGGCACTGATTATAACAAATGTAGAAAAGAGAAAAGGAGATAAAAATCAGCAATCATTTCCATCACTCAGAGAGAGTGTTTTTATTAGTGTTAATTTTTTCAATTTTTATGCATATTTATATTTTAAAAACAAAATTGATACTGTTTTAATACCTGATTTTTGAAATTTTCACTTACTATTATTGTATTTTGCTATATACCACATAAAACTTAGTAAATAAATTTGTATGCTTTTTTTTCTGTTAATCTGTCTTTGTCAGTTTTATTTTCTTACCCAGCCAGGAACTCTAAGAGGGCTGAGGAACACTTTCCTTCCCTATGCTGACTAGGCCTGACCATGAGATTCCCTCCCCGTCATTATACAATCAAGTATGAGCAAGAATTTGCTAAGTCAGTTTAGGGAAAAATCCCCCACCATTGGTATCTGAACCCCCTCAACCCCCATATCTTATCACTTTGGTCTGCCTTTAGCAATAATCCTGTCAAGTCAGTTTAGCCAGAAACCCCCTTACCCCTGATATTTCCTCTTAGTGATTTCCCATCCACTGACTCCCACCCTGCTCCTTGATTATAAATTCCCACTTGTCCTTGGAGTCGTGGAACCCAATCTCTCTCCCCTGTTGCAAGACATCATTTTAGTAGTCCCTATACTTACTGCTATGGTTCCCCTTGAATGAAGTCTTTAATAAGTGTCACACATAATTTTTCTCTTTAACAGGGCCTAACACCATAAACTTCCACCAAGGCACATCACTGTGAAATTTTACACCATAGTGGACAAAAAGGAAAAAAGAACAAGAGCTGTGACATAAAAAGTTCAGGAAACAGAAGGGCTTCAGATTTCTCAACTGCATTAATGAAACCAGAAGGAAATGAAATCTTATATATAAAACTCAGAAGGAAAAAGACTTTCAACTTAGAATCTATACCCCCAAGTTGGATTAAAAAGTTACTATTAGATAAAAATTCATCCTTTCTTAGGAAGCTACTGGAGATGGGTTCTCCTTCAAAAGAGAGGGTATCAAGAAAGTTATGGGGTATAGGAAAGAGGAGATGCAACACCAGAGAGAGGCAAAAGGAAGCCCTATGTGAGAGTGAAGAGAATCTGAGATGACAGCAATGTCAGGCCTGGAGGAAAATAAGTCCATACCGAGACAGTTAGAGATTAGAAAGCTCAGAGGGAAGCTTCTTTCAAAAGATGAAATTAAGAGAATCTCTGACACATTTAAACATTCTGAGAGATATACTCGGACTTGAATAAGTTATAAATATTAATACACAGAAAACTAAATAACAAAGCAAAATAATTATTAACTTCAGCAAAGCAAAAGAAAGCATGGTTTACTATTATATAATACATAGTTCAGCTGAAAATAGTGTCCATAGTCATAATAACATAAACATTGAATACTTATCTAACCAAAACTATGACATTGAGAAGTTGGAGTATAGGAATGGTACCCATAAGTAGAAGAGGAAAACCAAATCCTAATTTTTTCATGGGAGGAAATTAATACATACCTAAAATTGAAAAATCAAGATATAGCAAGGAATCAAAAGTTCTCCAAGATCTGTTTCTGTTACTGCCCTACCCTGTTTAACTTCTTTCTCCCTAGAGGCAACCACTTTTACCTCTTTAGCTAATTATTTATATCAGTTGCCTGTATGTTTCTGCACAAAAAATCTATACCGTCAAAGGTAATTACATGTGTCTCATGACCCTAGCCAATGATATCTAAATACATTTTCAATTGTGGATGTTAGATTCTAGAAGCTATAACAATAAGCAAACCTTTTCTTCACCAAAATAACGTGATAGAAGCAATTTAGAATATAAAATTTGTTTAGGCCAATTTAAAAGATCTATAAAAAGTACACAAAAATAAAGTTATTTGTGTTAAGCTTATCTCACAGGACCACATTACTAATAAGCAACAGTGAAGCTCTACTAAAAAGATGTGTGATTGTCATTAGAAACTAAAGGCTCAGTATTTTCACAGGCTAATTCTACCAAACATTCAAAGGTCAGATAATTTCACTATTAAGCTATCCTATATTAGGAAAACTTATGAAGCCCAAAACTAACAAAGGTTGCACAAGAAGAAAAATATTACCCAATCTCACTATTATTGTTATAAAAATATTATAGCCAAAATGTTAGCAAATAGAATCCAAAAGCATACTGAAAAATGACATATGACCAAATAAAGTTTATTAAAAAAATGTGAGGGTGTTCCAACATTATAAGGTCACTGAAACTAATAATAAAGATATGGATAAAATAAGCTTATCTTCCTTGACATTAAAGAGACATTTGATACATTTTAACTCTTAAATGACAGTACTTAGGAAAAATAAAATGACTACAACTTAGAGGAGTTTCTCCTTTGCCAAAAAATAAAAATCATTTAAATCCTTAATATTAAATATTTAATCTGTAAAGTGTTTAAAAACTCTACTAAAAACATAATAGATATAAGGTATAAGACCATGTGATACTAGCATAATGGGAGCAATTATTTTTGAAAGGCCAATGCCTGACATTAAGAACTATTATGCTTTTATTTCCAAGGGTATGCTTCAGGTATTGCAAACAATTACAACATTATAGTTGCTCCAATGGTGAGGTAGTAAAAAGCTGTTAGAAACCATCTCTTTTGCCTGATTAAACCCACTGTAAGTTGTTAATAAAAGTTATGTTAGATGAACATAATTCCCCTTTTTCCAAGGGAAATGAAAATAATTTCTATGAAAATAATTTTTAGCCAACTATGAAAACATGTATCTGTCTGTGGGTGTGTGTTATATCTTATGGATAATCTTATGAACACAAAACCACAAAAACTCATTTGGAGAACCACCCTTTCAGATTCTTCAAACTGTCTTCTTCTCTTTTCAATGTGTTTGCAATGCTTCCTTTATTTTCTGTGCCACCCCTCCACCACACCAGAACTCAGTGATGGTTTTCTGTGATATTTTCTAGGCTGGAGACAGTAAAATTTCTTAAATTAGGGGATCAGACATTAACAATTTTCCAGTCACCTGGGTGGCTAATGCTTTAATTTGCATTTGTGTTAAAATTCACTTCACATATGCAGGAGGAGAAAAGGAAATGACATCAGATGTGCTTTGCTAAAGATCAGAGGAACTGCAGCTGTGGCCTTCCCATTCATCAGGTATAACATTTATCTAGTGCTGCCACTTCTGTGATAGAGTAGGCTTTAGACTGGCTCTCTTAGAAAATTCAGGACAGTGAATAAAAATTGTCTGATTGACTTTTCTTCAAGAAATTACACTTAGTTCATTAGAATATTCCTAAAAGTTACATCCAGAATCAAATTCTTACAGAAAAACCTTTCTAGTTTTCTACTCTTTACTATAAGGGTTCCTGTTGGGTACTATCTCTGCCCCTACTGTATTTTGTTTTTTCCCAAAAGTTGGCAAGTAGGCAAGATCAACTAGACAATGACTACTTGAGAATTGAGCAGATTTTAACCTTCTACTTATGGAATGTTTGCTCAACACTAAGTCTTCATGTTAATGTTTAAAACAATTGTGTCTCTAACTTTATAAAAATGGAAATTGGAAACCATGGTCATCAGAAAATTAATGTTTCATTCAGGCTTTATCGTAACTATAATTTATATTTTGAGAAAAGATTATTTACTAATAGTCATTTAAAAAAGTGTCTGCTTTTTTGACTCTTTGTGTTAGTCCCTCCCATTCTTAACATAGATTCCCACATTTAACTTCTCTTAATCAAAATGTCGTAAAACAAAAACTAAATAGAATTCAGATAATATTGAGATCTTTGGCATCAATTCACTCCATGAATCCAAGACAGTACTCAACTGAAGGGGAGGCAGTGATAGGAAGCAAGGATGGAAGTAGGGGTTTGGGGCACTGATACTGTTTCGTTTCTTCATCTGAGTGCTGTTGATATGAGTGCTTATTCAGTTTGTAAAAATACACGATGTTGTACACTTATGTACACTTTTAGGTAGAGATCTAATATCCATGATTCTATGACAACTGTGACAAACCAGTACAGTGAGTCCCAAACCTCTGAGACAAAAGTCCCAACGAACCACTTACCATCTCTACCCCTTTCATTAACTTGGCCCTAGGCTGGTGTGCTATGGAGGAAATTCAGCATTGTCAAGAATGCTTTTTGAAATAGTAATGTAATGTTTATTTTTCTTTGGTGTCATGAGCAAATACAAGATGCTACTGTATTTTCAACAAGAGCATTTTAAGGAAACTGTCCAGAAACTAGCTGGTTTCTAAATTACATTTTATAAATCATTGGCATAGTGGAAAAAGGGGCCACTAGTTTGAAAGAGGACATGAACACTCACTACTTCATTTCTCATTCTCATTCATCTGTTCATCTATTTGCCTCTTCATAGGTATTTAGCACATATAGGATAAATATTCAGTGCCTTCTATGTGCTAGGGACTGAGTATATGACGATGAACCTGGTATCTGTGTTAGAGAATGACTAGCTAACTATCAAACCCATTTCCTCTTTTTCCTGGGCATGCAGTTAAATGGTATTTCCCAGCCTCTGTACAGTTAGGGAAATAAAACTTACAATCAGGAGACAAAGAACTATATACTCAGTATCTTTTAGTGACTACTAAATGGACAATTCAGCTAATAAAAGCAGCAGGAGTTCAGAAAAAGGAGAAACAAGAAAGGATTCATAAATACCATAGAACTTGATGTGTGACTTATAGGTTCAGCAGGATGGGTAAAGATACAGAGAAGGACTTGTAAGTAAGGAGAACAGCATTAGTAAAGGCATTAAAGTGAGAATGAGCAAGTACATGTGCAACAACACAATGCCACCAACTTGTCTAATGCAAGTGGTATATGATGGAATTTACAGAAAATGCAATACAAGGCTTAGTTCATGAAAACCTCTCATGCATTATCCCTTCTATGCTCTTTTCTACCTGCTGGATTAATTGAGGTGAGCACGGCAATCTTGAAAGGCAAACATTGAGGAGGGTGGAATCACAAGACAAAAAGAGCCTGATTCATTACTTGCAGGTGGGCCAACTGGCTAATCACAACCTTTTGTGGAATTTATGTGACTGAAAAATAAACTTATTTCATGTTTGAGCCATTATACATTTCTGAGTTTGTTTGCTATGTAATTGGCCTTAATATTGTGAAATTAAGGAGCTAATTAGGCCAGGTGCGGTGGCTCACGCCTGTAATCCTACCACTCTGGGAGGCAGAGGCGGGTGGATTGCTCAAGGTCAGGAGTTCAAAACCAGCCTGAGCAAGAGCGAGATCCCATCTCTACTATAAATAGAAAGAAATTAATTGGCCAACTAATATATATAGAAAAAATTAGCTGGGCGTGGTGGCGCATGCCTGTAGTCCCAGCTACTTGGGAGGCTGAGGCAGGAGGATTGCTTGAGCCCAGGAGTTTGAGGTTGTAGTGAGCTAGGCTGACGCCACGGCACTCTAGCCTGGGCAAAAAAGCAAGACTCTGTCTCAAGAAAAAAAAAAAAAGGAGCTAATTACCTTCTAAGGAGACGCCTACTCACACATAAAAAGCCACAATTTAGTAAGCACTATAACAAAATTTTAAAATTTATTAAAGCTGGAAGAAGCAGCAGTTAATTCCACTCAGAAAGGGTTCTTGAAGTATAACTAACATGTGAACTGTGTTTGCAGAATAAACAGGTAAGAACTTATTAAGGAGACAAGTAGTGTGAAAGGAGTAATGCTTAGTAAAGGAGAAGATACAAAGTCATGAACATATTTAATGTGCCCAGGAGAATTTGCATATGGCTAAGTATTTCTCCAACAGGAGTTATGGCCTAGAAAGGTGGTCTGGGGCCAGACAGTGGCATGGTAAGGAGAATTAACATTATCTTGTATGCAGTGAGCAATGGAAGATTTCAAGTAATACAGCATAAGAAGGGAAGACTGGGATGGGGAGAGCTAGAGACAGGAAGATTAAGCAGGAAGTAGTGGTAGAGGACATGAAGACTAGGAACAGCACTGACAATTTTTTTTTGAGACAGGGTCTTGCTGTGGCCCAGCTGGAATGCAGTGGTGTCATCATTGCTAGCTCACTGCAACCCCAAACTCCCGGGCTCAAGCTATTTTCCCATCTCAGCTTCCCAAGTAGCTTGGACCAGCACTCCCCAAACTTTTTAGCACCAGGGACTGGTTTCATGGAAGGCAATTTTTCCATGGCTGGAGGGGTGGTGGGGTGGAAGTGGAGGAGGAGCTCAGGTGGTGATGCCAGTGATGGGGAGCTGCTGTAAATACAGATGAAGCTTCACTCTAGCTCACCAGCTGCTCACCTCAGGCTGTGCGCCACAACCTGCCCCTCCCAAGTTTCATGGAAGACAAGGGACATAGGTGGGTAGGGAGTAGAGCAGAGCTCTGCAGCCTGGTCCTTATCAAGCCATGGACCAGTACCAGTCTGCTGCCCAGGTTGTTATGGACTGTACCACCAAACCTGCCTAATACTTTTCTATTTTTGATAGAGATGGGGGTCTCACTCTTGCTCCGGCTGGTCTCGAATTCCTGAGTTCAAGCGATCCTCCCACCTTGGCATTCCAGAGTGCTAGGATTACAGGCATGAACCACCTTGCTCGGCCTGAGATACACTTTGAATCCCTCAAACAGGACACAGGGGATTATGGGTCTTACTTAAAATGTGCTTACTTTACGTATGGGTCATCTTTTGGAAGTAAGAACATGGGAAAGCCCTGAATTGATAGGTAGATCCCTAAACCACCCTAGGAGGAAATGCTAACTTTTTAAATGTAAATTTTATTTATTAAAAAAATGGTAATCATATGATCAAACAATTTTAATAGGGTATATCAATGAAGTCTTTGTTTTTTTTTTTGGAGAAAGAGTCTTGCTCTGTTGCCCGGGGTTAAAGTGCTGTAGTGTTGGCCTAGCTCACAGCAATCTCAAACTCCTGGGCTCAAGCGATCCTTCTGCCTCAGCCTCCCAAATAGCTGGAACTATATACATGCACCACCATGCCCGGCTAATTTTTTTTTCTCTATATTTTTAGTTGTCTAGCTAATTTCTTTCTATTTTTAGTAGAGACAGAGTCTCACTCTTGGTCAGGCTGGTCTCGAACTCCTGAACTCAAGCAATCCTCCTGCCTGGGCCTCCCAGACTGCTCACTCCCAGTGTGAGCCACTGCGCCTGGCTGAAGTCTTTCTTTCCCTTTCTCAAGCAACCCATTTTCTCCCTTCAATGTCATACCAGATTCCTTTTGTATCCTTCTGAGGTATTCTTCACAGTATATATCTACTTTTCCCTCCTTTTTATAACACATACATAGACCCCTTGCCTTCCCTGGCTAAGGAACATTTACTTACCTTAGAGTGGCTCCCTCAGTTTTAATTATATCTCCATCTTTCATATAAACATATTGTTGTTCTCCATTTCCTATAATTTCTTCTCTATGAGGATTCCGTGGGAGTTTTTTAATACAATAGGTAGTGTCTGGTCACAAAACATGGGAAATAATATTAAGTGACACTTTAAATGATAATTTACCCTTTTAAGAGATAAATTTTCATAGAGCTAACAATTGTGAAATGACCGCATAAAATACTAACATTAAGAAACAATATAGCACAAAGTTCTCCCAATGTCAAAAAGATATGAAAAAAAAAAGAAAAACAATAGAAAATGGGTTGAAGTATAGCAGCTTATCTCTGGGATGTAACTATTTTGTATATCTGAACAAAAGAGATCTTTATTCTCTCAGGCCCTGCTAGGTCTACATAAAAGCCTTTGTGTTTTTCTAGTAACTCCTGGTTTATACAAAAATTTGGAAGTAGTACTTCATAATTTCAGATGGCTTTGACATCCTAACAGGTGATGAAGAGGCAGTAACGCACAACCTGGGAACTTTATTAGGTGCCTGAGGTATAGTAAAGAAGTCATGGCAGTAGTTAATAACAAAAGGATGACAGCATAAGGTCCTTGCTGTGTGTGCTGAAAGGGAGTCTAAACTCCAGGGCTAAGATATTAAACCTTTAAAATAAGCTTAACCCATACTGCCCCTCACTGACACACAAAAAATCTATTAACTAACCAATCCACAGTTGAGTGCCAATTATCTAATCGGTATACTATGTATAATGAATACAAGCTTCATAACCTCAAAGTACTTAAAAGTTGCAATTATTGGGGAAATAAAACTTACAATCAGGAGACAAAGAACTATATACTCAGTATCTTTTAGTGACTACTAAATTCAGCTAATAAAAGCAGCAGGAGTTCAGAAAAAGGAAAAACAGGAAAGGATTCATAAATACCATAGAACTTGATGTATGGCTTATAGGTTCAGCAGAATGGGTAAAGATACAGAGAAGGACTTGTAAGTAAGAGGAATAGCATTAGTAAAGGCATTAAAGTGAGAATGAGCAAGCACATGTGCAACAACATAATGCCACCAACTTGTCTAAGGCAAAATACTGGCTGGGAAGAGTGGAGATAAAGTTGGATAGGCAAGATAAGTTCATATCAGGGAGGGCCTTAAATTGCCTTTCTCCAAATAAAGGAATTTAAACTTTACCGTATGTGACCACTGCATGCTTATTAGTAAGACACTGAAATAGTGTTAACAGGTTGATCAACAGAGTGGCTATGGGTGGGGAGACTAGATGAGAGCAATCAGAGAGACCAGGAGGGGATGACTACAATATGCCAGCTGGAAGGTAAGGAATATTAGAATCAGGGTGGCAGCACTGAAAATATGGAGGGAGACAAAGACATTTAAAAGAAAAATTGACAAGGCACAGAAATCTGGCTAGCATGGGGGATAAAGGAGATAGAAACATTGAAAGAGAAATAAAACAAACAACCCCAAACTCCATTATTTTGCATCTTAGAGGCCAAAGCAAAACAATTATATGCTTTTCTGGGAACTGACATTATATAACAAGATTGATATAGTAAGTTTGTTTACTTATTTATTTTGAGAAAGAGTCTCACTTTGTTGCCCAGGCTAGAGTGAGTGCCTTGGCATCAGCTTAGCTCATAGCAACCTCAAACTCCTGGGCTCAAGTGATCCTCCTGCCTCAGCCTCCCAAGTAGCTGGGACTACAGGCATGTGCCACCATGCCTGGCTAATTATTTTGTATGTATTTTTAGTTGTCCAGATAATTTCTTTCTATTTTTATTAGAGATGGGGTGTCGCTCTTGCTCAGGCTGGTCTTGAATTCCTGAGCTAAACGATCCTCCTACCTCAGCCTCCCAGAGTGCTAGGATTATAGGAGTGAGCCACCACACCTGGCCTGATATAGTAAGTTTTGTTTGTTTTTGTTTTTAATTCGTATAATTTTATCTTTCAGTAAAGGAGTGAAGGTATTACATTTCTAGTTATGAGACCTTTGGTAGATAATCTTTCAAAAAATTCACAATTATCTCAAAATTACAAAACAAATGTCATGTTATAACTTTGCATCAGTTTTCAAAATTACGTGTAAATATAAATGAAAACATATCTTTGTCACAATAGTCACTGACAGGCAGGATGAGAATGCTAAAAGCAATCACATAATAATAATTATTATTTTCAATAATTTATTGAGACAGAATTCATACTGTAAGTTCTACCCCTTAAATGTGTACAACTCAGTAGTTTTTTTTAGCACATTTGAAGAACTATACAACTATCAGCACTATCTAATTTTCAAAACCCCTAAAGGAAACTCTGTACCTAGTGATAGTCCCCATTTGTTCCTTTCCCAGCCTCTGGCAATCTTTTATCTACTTTCTGTCTCTATCTTATAATTATTTTAACAAGAGTAAACTCCGAGTCATTTATTAAGGTTTGTAGAATAGATTAGAACATCATTGGTAATGCTAATTATTTAAACTAACACGAACATGTGACATTGTTTATGTATAATAATTTCTAATAAAACCACATTCTAATTGAATAGCATAGAGGCAAACATTTGACTCTGAGGACTCAGATGTCAAATATGTGGCAAAGACCCAACCTCAGCTGCAAAATAATTTTTAATTATCAGATACCAGAACATATTTTACAACTGTGGTCTGCAACCCCCAGGCCGTGGACTGGTAAGAGTCCGTGGCCTTTTAGGAATGGGGCTGCACAGCAAGAGGTGAATGGCAGGGCAAGCGAGTGAAGCTTCATCTGTATTTATAGCCACTCCCCATCACTCACATCACTGCCTGAGCGCTGCCTCCTGTCAGATCAACGTTGGCATTAGATTCTGCATTATGGTATGCTGTAAATTATTTCACTACATATTACAATTTAATAATAATAAAGTACACAGTAAATGTAATGTGCTTGAATCATCCCTAAATCATCCTCCCCACTGCTGGTCTGTGGAAAAGTTGTGTTCCATGAAACCAGTCCCTGGTGCCAAAAAGGTTGGTTGGGGACTGCTGTTTTACAAGATTTACTTAAAAACAAAGCAAAAAACTCAACTGGGAATATGTAGTTCTCGTATCTAGTAAAATTCTGGTTCCTGCAAGACACTAGGAGTCCCCAAATCATATCCTGATTATGTTTTAAAATTTTGTAAGCAGTTTGCTTTGAAGTTACCGTGTCTTCCCATAAAGATCTTATAAATGGCATTTGTATTTTTGGTGTGGCCTATAAAAATACAGGTTGTTAGGGAGTGATTCTGTATACTTTCCTCATGCGAAATTCTAGAACAAACAAAACCAGGTGTCCTCAAACTACTGCCCTCGGGCCACATGCAGTTGTTTTTGCCTGTTTGTTTTTTTACTTCAAAATAAGATATGTGCAGAGTGCATAGGAATTTGTTCATAGTTTTTTTTTTTTTTGAGACAGAGTCTCACTTTGTTGCTCAGGCTAGAGTGAGTGCCGTGGCATCAGCCTAGCTCACAGCAACCTCAAACTCCTGGGCTCAAGCGATCCTCCTGCCTCAGCCTCCCAAGTAGCTGGGACTACAGGCATGCGCCACCAAGCCTGGCTAATTTTTTCTGTATATTTTTAGTTGATCAATTTATTTCTTTGTATTTTTAGTAGAGACAGGGTCTTGCTCAGGCTGGTTTTGAAGTCTTGACCTTGAGCGATCCTCCCACCTTGGCCTCCCAGAGTGCTAAGATGACAGGCGTGAGCCACTGTGCCCAGCCTGTTCATAGTTTTTAAACTATAGTCTGGCCCTCCAACGGTCTGAGGGACAGTGAACTGGCCCCTGTTTAAAAAGTTTGAGGACCCCTGAGCAAAACTAATGTATAGTGAAAGAAAGCAGATGAGTGGTTGCTGGAGGTGGTGGGCAGATCACAACAAAATTGGCACAGGGGACTTCTTTTTGGGATGGAGGAAGTGTTCCATATTTTGACTGGAGTAGTCACATAGGTATTTACATTTGTTAAAACTTATCAAACCGTACACTTAAAAAGGGCATGTTATATATGTATATTAGAGCAATAAAGCAGATTTATGAAGAAAAAAAAAGGCCATAAACATTTTAATTTTTCAAATTGATCCTCATGCTACAAGAATTGACTAATGTAACAAAATTAATTAAGAAACCTCAGAATAGGCCAGGCGCGGTGGCTCACGCCTGTAATCCTAGCTCTCTGGGAGGCCGAGGCGGGCGGATTGCTCGAGGTCAGGAGTTCAAAACCAGCCTGAGCAAGAGCGAGACCCCGTCTCTACTATAAAGAAATTAACTGGCTGATATATATATATAAAATTAGCCGGGCATGGTGGCGCATGCCTGTAGTCCCAGCTACTGGGGAGGCTGAGGCAGAAGGATCCTTGAGCCCAGGAGTTTGAGGTTGCTGTGAGCTAGGCTGACACCACGGCACTCCCTCTAGCCTGGACAACAAAGCGAGACTCTGTCTCAAAAAAAAAAAAAAAAAAACCTCAGAATAGATTTTTTTTTTTTTTTGAGACAGAGTCTCGCTTTGTTGCCTAGGCTAGAATGAGTGCCGTGGCGTCAGCCTAGCTCACAGCAACCTCAAACTCCTGGGCTCGAGCGATCCTCCTGCCTCAGCCTCCCAGTAGCTGGGACTACAGGCATGGCGCACCATGCCCGGCTAATTTTTTCTATATATATTATTGGCCAATTAATTTCTTTCTATTTATAGTAGAGACGGAGTCTCGCTCTTGCTCAGGCTGGTTTCGAACTCCTGACCTCGAGCAATCCGCCCGCCTCGGCCTCCCAGAGAGCTAGGATTACAGGCGTGAGCCACCGCGCCCGGCCTCAGAATAGATTTTTAATTCACAAAATTTAATAGGTAGATAGACAAGATAAGGAAAGTCAGAGTGAGAGATTATATGAGTTCCCATGGCACATAGTTCCCTTGGATTGGAAGAAAGGAGGTAAGAAAGAAAGTTATGTTAGACAGTTTTTTTATAACTTGCAGCCTGATAATATTTAAGTGTGCCTATCTGAGACTATTTTGGTGTCTCCATTGTAGTTTCAAGGCCTAAAAAACCCTATTTTTTAAAAATAATACACATGTAAATCTTTGTGTGAATAAACATCCTTGATCTCCTTGCTATGCTTTAAACATGCCAAGCAGACTCCCATACCAGCATCTTTTCTCCTCCAATGCCCTCTGCCTGGCACACCCTGATCTCAGGAGCTTATTCCTTCTAGATATAATGTCCAACCTAGATATAATAGCCCTGCTGTCTTCCACTTTACTCTCTCCTCTTTCTCTTCTTGTAGTTTTATTTTCCTTCATAGTATCCATCATCATCTGATCTATTATTTATTTATCATTTATCTTTCCTGCTGTAATGAAAGCTAGATAGAACAGTGCCTGACATACAGAAGTCACTTGAGGCCGGGTGTGGTGGCTCACACCTGTAATCCTAGCACTCTGGGAGGCTGAGGTGGGAGGATTGCTCAAGTCAGGAGTTCAAAACCAGCCTGAGCGAGACCCTGTCTCTACTAAAAATAGAAAGAAATTAATTGACCAACTAAAAATATACAGAAAAAATTAGACAGGCATGGTGGCGCATGCCGGTAGTCCCAGCTACTGGGAAGGCTGAGGCAGGAGGATCACCTGAGCCCAGGAGTTTGAGGTTGCTGTAAGCTAGGCTGACGCCAAGGCACTCACTCTAGCCTGAGCAACAAAGTGAGACTCTGTCTCAAAAAAAAAAAAAACGAAGTCACTTGAATATTTGTTACATTTGTTAAATGAATGAACTAGGTATATGATGGTGGGATGAGAGAATAAGGACAGAGATAGTAAGAGGTCAATACTGAGTAAGTTTGGACAAAGAGTTATCAATACAATGACATTTCACCTCAATTTCAGTATATCTTAGTAATTATCTTCAAGTTATGAAAGGCCTGAGAGCATCTGTTTAGAATGTGGACAGTAACAGCCTACTTCACAGTATCCATATAATGTGTTTAGCACAGTGCCTGGCACAGAGTAAATGCTCAAAAGTTGTTAGTTATTATTAATAAGTCTGAAGCAATAACTGTCACACAGACTGAATTAAAACTAACCTTCATCAGTGAGGAAAGGGAAAGAGAAGGAGAAGATCTGAAACAGAAAACAGGACTTTTGCTTTCCTTTGTTAAAGCTGGGAACAGTATTCAAGTCATATACATTTCTAAAAGTATCATTTAAATATACTTAGTTTATATTAGGTTTATAGATTACTTAGCTCTGTAACTGAAATAAATTATTCTCCAAACATAGCTTTCCTCAGTGAACTCAATGAATGCTTTCTGTTTACCATTACTGATGCTTTTACAAATATCTTCTATGCCGCCAGTATGATCCCGGTGCCAATGAGTCACTATGATTTCCTGGATTGCTGTGTTAAATTCAGTTAGAGCCTGCTTTAAACAGCTGATATATTCTGGAATTGCTGGTTCTCCAGTGTCAATGAGGATTCTCCTGAAAATTAAATGGAAGATAATCACATAACTGCAACAGAGTTAATATTAGCATATTTCTCACACAGATAATTTGTATTAAAGAAACTGCATAAATTGTTTTGTTTTCAACATGCTTGTAAACCAGCCACATGTCACTTCAACTTAACTACAGTAATCTCACCATAAGAAAGTTGTTTGAAAAATATTATAGCTAAATTAAGTCTCCACAAAGAATAATAGTAGTAATCTTGAATACTTACATAGCAATTAAAATAAACATGGTGCTGTTCCAAGGACCTTACATATTTTAATTATATTCCTCATAACAACTGTTTAAGGTAGATATTTCATGATTATATTTGGAAATTAAGTAACTTACCCAATGTTACCCTGAAAAGAAATGGTAGAACCAGCTTTCAAACCCAGGTAATCTGGTACCAAAATATGTGCTCTTATTCTCTGTCTTTGAGATCTCCTATCTCAATATATCTCAAATGTCTCACAGATATGAAAGATTTGATTCAATGGAATCCCTAAAGAAACCCAGTCTTCAGCACTAGATATATAACTTAACACTGAAATTTTACCTTGGTACTCTTACACATAAAAATGAAGACTGTAGGGAAGCATGGGGGAAATGCCTAAGCTGTTTTCTTTCTTTACTTAGACAACCCTATTAGTAATATTTTTTTGCTTGTGGTTCTGAACCTTCCTTATACTTGTTTTCCCTTCCTCACTTTTTTATGGGGTGGCCTTTCTCTATGAAGTTTTCCCAAACTAAAGATATCAGGGTGACATTTTCCTTAAGAACCAATTCACAAACTTCTGACCTAATTCATGTTGTTTCATAGTAATGCCTCACTAATTTAGGATGGCAAGAGATTAGTCTTGATGAAATGTCTGAGTCATTCATTTATTCACTAATAACTGTTTATGGATTACCTACTATGTGCCATGCCTTTATTTTTTGCAGTAGGTAAGACAAAAAACCCTAACATTCTAGTGGAGGGTGGCAAGGGGGAGCTGTATAGGAATGAAAATGAACAATAAAAGTAACAGATAATAGAAAGCATTTTATAGAGCACTAAAATTGGGTATATATGACAGGAAATAACTGGCTGGCTATTTTATATTGGATGGTTTGCTTCCCTAACCCTATTCCCTGAGCCCCACAGCCAATAAAAACAAATTGCCCTCTTGAAGGAGAGAAGGGCAGTGGCCTTATGGCCTGTTGGCCTGTCTACACTCTAAGCTCATAGGGCAGAGGATCGACTTCAGAAGCACAGCTTTGAACTGTGTTCCAGAGATGAAAGACCAGATGGTTACACTGGTCCAAGGGGGCATTGTAAGGTCCTGTTGGCAGTGGAAATGTAAGGAAGAGACAGCTTAAAGAACATTTAGAAGGAGCAATCAACAGGATTTTTTTTTTTTTAACAAGCGGCTGTGGAAGAGAAGGGAAACAGTTAATGATTCTGAGGTTTCTAGGTAGGATGATTGGTGTGCCATTATCCAAGACAGTAAACACTGGAGGGAGCAAATTTGAGATGAGTTTGATTTGGGTCACAGTGAATTTTGATGGCATTCCTAGACATCTTCCCTTGCTTTTCCTCCATAGCAATTATTACTATGTAATACATTATGTACTTACATGTTTATTTTATTTATTACTTATCTCCACAACTTCCACCACCCTACAAATTTGGGCCTTATGAGGGCAGGTACCTTGTCTGTTTGGTTCAAGGAATTTACAAATTTCCATATCTATAATACATTGTGTCATGCTTGGCACTGTGTATATTCAGTCACACTAAAGTAAAAATATGCAAAACTATAATAGAATACTTCCAATAATATTCTCTAGCCCACTATCCTAGATTTTAGCTACCTCCATGAATTTTTACCACAAATTCTTCTGCTCAATTAGGTGTCACTCAAATTATTGTGGGGGTCTTCTAGACCTTGAGAAGAATCCTTCCATGCTTCGCATCAACACCTCTCAATTTTTTCAAACCATTAAAGTATCTTTTGATTACTATTTTTGAATCCTTCCCTTCCCCCTCCCCTCCCAAGAATCTCTGTTTTGTAGTATCTCATCATCTAAAACTGAATTGAAACCTCTGAATTTTTAATTACAGACCAGATCAAATCATGCTTAACAAAAGTCATGACACAATTAACAGGGTTAGCGTACAGATTTCACAAAATCTAGTAGCAAAGATAACAGATCTTTCAGAATGCCTGTGCTGCCTGTTTGCAGGTAAAAGTGTGAATGACCATGAGCTTTTGTCACTAGAGAACATGGTTCCTGAGCCTTCTTTTTAGTCTCCTAATGGTCCTGTCTTGGGCTAATAAAACTAGAATTAGCAAAGAAAGGAATCTCAAAGTAAGGAAAATACAACTCTCACAAGTCCTGAATTACACATGGTCTATTCAGAACAGAAGAGGGGTGTCTTGATGCTATAAAACCTAAAAATGGGTTTGTATCAAGTATGGGGGGGGTGTCACACTGATAACATCTTACATTACCATAGCAATTTAAACCATCTGGAGCTTCATATATATTAATATTACCTCTTTTGATCCTCAGATCAACTCTAGGGAGTTATTATTTTACTTTACAGAAAAAGAAACTAGTCTTCAGAAAGGCTAAGTGATTTGTTCCAGATTATATAACCAGAAAGAAGCAGTGCTAGGACTAGATGTTCAGCTATAAGGTCCAGTGACTTTTCCATTCAAAACACTGCCTCTCTGGTAGAAGAGGATTGCTTATGTAAGCATCTAGAACCATTCTTCATGTAGCATAAATAAAAGTTCAGCTATAAATTAGAAAAAAAAAAGTTCTCAGTTTCTTCCTTAACAAATAGTTATTCTATCTGTAATGTCTGTAAATAGCTATTGTAGATGATTAGATAGTATTATTTCTATGTGGGCTGGCTGACTTTGCTCTTCATGGCCACAGACAATATGCCTATCTTGGGAGGTCATTTTGCAAATCCAGTTATGCTAATAAAGGGCTCAAGAGAGGAATGTGAATGAATCTGTACAGGTCTATGACTGGACTGCACTAAAGGACAGTGCATGGCACATAGTAGGCACACAACAATCTGCTACATGGAGAAAAAAATTCTTCAACTGATAGGAAAGCTGGTGGAATCAAATTCCTCTTTGTAGGTATTTTAGATAGCTATTAACTGGTCTCTATTTGCTGTTACTCTTATAAAATCATTAGATAGAATTTTCTGAGTACCTACTCTGAACCAAGTGTTGTCTAGATGTTATCAGGAAAGCAGAAGTGATAAAAATAATAGCTAACATTGTATATTTTCCACATGCTAGAACTTAAGTACTTTTGGTATATGCTTTTTCATTTAAATTTCACTGAATCCTCTTATCATCCCTATGAGGTAGGTACAACTCTTATTGTGTAAGTAAGGAATCTGAAGCTTAAAGAAGTAACTGTCTTGTCTGTAAATGGAGCCAGGATCTCCATTTAACTAACTCTAATTTAACTCTAATCCTTAGATTAGATTAGTTTATTCCACTACTTTGCTTTTTCGTATAAGATATACTATATGCCCTCAAAGTATATACAATTTTGATAGGAAAGGGTAAAATTGCAGCTTTTGGAGGTTCTCGAGCAGAGTTTGAGAAACATGGAAATACTCTGGACAATTTGGCTATCATTTGTTGATTCAAACACTTATTGAGTATCTATGTACAAAGCATCATGGTTAGGTCTAATAGTGCTTTAGTGAAATTCATTTGGCATCTATGGGCTGATCAGATGAGGAAGGAAAATCAGCTAAAACTTTATCATCCAGCAGTTCTAGAATCCCAACAGTGAAAATTAAGATGTAGGGAACCCTCATTCATTCAGCAAATATTTACTGTACTACCCATGTTGTGTACAAGGCTCTGTGCTAGGTGCTGGTGATATAACAATGACAACACCTTCATTGAATTTACATTCTAGTGGGCATGAAGGTGTGGAAAGACATTAAATTGCTCGAACAACAACAACAACAAAAAATTAGTATTGTTGAGATATGGGCCATGAAAAATATGGAGTGTTAGGATAGAGTATTACATTGACCTAACCTAGTTGGAGAGGTCAGGGAAGACTTCCAGAAGAAAGGATATTTCAGCTGAGCACTAAAGGATGAGTGAGGTTAGCTGGGTGAAAAGGGGAGGGATGAGTGGGAGACAGAAAGGAAAACATGAAAGCTCTGAGGCAGAAATGATACAACTCATCTGAGGCTCTATAAGCCCAGTAGGGCCAGAATGGGAGAGGTTTGAGAGGAGCCTGATGAAGCAGATGGAGGCCAGAATATGCAAAACCTCCCAAATTTCTGTCAAATCACAACTTGGCAAGAGAAACAAACAAACAACAAAAAAACCCACAACTACTCTGGCTACCTGGGGGGGGGCACTTGATTGAAGAAAAACAAAAGGAGATGCAGAGAAGCCAGTTTGGAGGCTATTACAGAAGCCTTCACAAGAGGTGCACTGGTTTGTACTGGGTGATAGCAAGGGATATGAAGAGATCTTCATAACAGCTTGGATGTATGGTAAGAATCAAAGAAATGTCAAGGAGGGTACTTAGGCATTTCCCTTGATCAAACATGGGGATGGTTCTGTTTACCAAGATATGGACGACTGGAAGAGGACCTCATTTAGTTTCCTGCAAAAGCCTATAAGTTCAGTTTCAGAAACACTGAATTTCAAGTAGCTCTGAGTCATCCAAGTAAAGATTTAAAAGTCAGCTACCTGAGTCTGAAGATAAAGTATGGATTTTGCCTAAACTGGAGCTATATATTTGGTAGTTAATAATAATAGGTAAAGCCAAGAAAGTATGCAACATCACCTAGGTAGAGAATACATCATGAGAACAGAACAGAGGTAAGGATTACATCTTCAAGAACTCAAATAATTAAAGATCTTGTAAAGAAGATGACTCTATAAAGAATAAGAAAGAGCATCTAGACAGGTAAGAGGAAATCTGGAGAACGTGGTATTGGCCAATAAAGGAGGGAACAGTCAATAGTGTCTAAAGACAATAAAGGTCAAGGAAGATGGGAATAGAAAAATGCCATTGGGTTTAGTGATATAAAAGCAACCAGTGCAGCGTGGTGGCTCACGCCTGTAATCCTTGCACTCTGGGAGGCCGAAGTGGGAGGATCGCTCAAGGTCAGGAGTTTAAAACCAGCCTGAGCAAGAGCAAGACCCCATCTCTACTATAAATAGAAAGAAATCAATTGGCAAACTAAAAATATATAGAAAAAATTAGCCGGGCATGGTGGCGCATAGCCTGTAGTCCCAGCTACTTACTTAGGAGGCTGAGGCAGAAGGATTGCTTAGGCCCAAGAGTTTGAGGTTGCTGTGAGCTAGGCTGACGCCATGGCACTCTACCCTGGGTAGAGTGAGACTCTGTCTCAAAAAAAAATGCAACCAGTGATTTTAGAACTGTTTTGTGAAGTGGAACAATCTCAGAACATCTGATTTGTACCCAGTAAATAATCATTTCTAGCCATCTTTTACTTTATAGAGCAGTATCTATCTGCACTAATTTATTCTAGCTCAACTGTATGCAGAAATAATTTAAACAGTGTGATTCCACCGGCTATTCTACTCCATGAGTTTATGAAACAGTGTTAAGTAGTTTAAGATGGGAGATCATGAATCTGCTTTTCCCAGTCAGTTTCAAGTCCTTTAAGTCACTTTTAGCACAAGCACTTCACTATGTTAAGTGTGATTCTAGTGTTTAAAGATACAGTATGTATTTTTCATACAACATGGCCCCTAAATGCAAGCCAACGTCATCTGGTTTTCAAACAGAACCAGCCATCTGTTTCAACGCTGGAAGAAAAGCAGGTTGTGCTGAACTTACTGCAACAGTACATGGATCTCCAATATGGTGTTCTTCTAAGAGACTTTCTAGGATAATTTTGACTAAATGCCATTTTTCACCTGCAACAGTGACTTTGGAACTAGTTTAAGATGACACGCTGAAGAGAGAATGTCTGGATTTCCTGGTTGAGGGCGTCCCAGCCAAGACATACTGTACTCTAAAGAGCTGGTATTTCTTCTGCTTAATTCTCTATCCTAGATTCTGGAAGCAGCTCAGAAGTCTTGTACTTACCTGACCCTACTAAGATTACTCTGGACTCAACCTTTTGCCTGCCCTCTCATTCTACTGCTTGTAAAATTCTTATTTACTGGAAAAAGGAAAACACAGTAGATATTTCCAATAAAAACTCAATGAGGTATACTTATTAAATTATTTTTAGTAATCAATTATTATTTATTTTTGAGGCAGGGTCTCACTGTGTCACCCTAGCTCACTGCAACCTCAAACTGCTGGGCTCAAGTGATTAAAGCCACAGCCTCCTGATTAGCTGGGACTACAGGCACATACCACCATGCCCAGCTAATTTTTTTCTATTCTTTGTAGAGAAGAGGTCTAGCTTTTGCTCAGGCTGGTCTTTTTTCTTTCTTTCTTTCTTTAACTCACAATGTAAATGATACAGGCTGGTCTTGAACTCCTAGTATCAAGCAATCCTCTGGCTCCAGCCTCCCAAAGAGCTGGGATTACAAGCTTGAGCCACTGTGCCTGGCCCTCAATTATATTTTCAAAAATATTTGTAATGTCTTGACTGCACAATTAAATTCTATGCATAAGAAGAACTATATCTCATTTTAATCTTGTATTATCTAGGTTATTTAGTAAACACTACAAAAGTTGCTCAATGCCTACTAAAGACATACTATGCAGTAAGCCAAGCCTCCCATTTATCAATAACTCCATTAAAAGAGAATGGAGTTGAACAAGAGGGAAAACATCTTCTCAGAAATACAAATATATTGTCTGCAAAATAACTCAACGAGGCCACACACAATTTGTAACTAAAACCAAAATTAGTTACTCTCAGCTCCTCTTTCCCACAGGCTACGGGGATTCTTTCGGGTTTTACAAACTCAAGCAATGTGGAAGCCAAGAAACTCCTGCCCTCTGCTGCTGAGTTTAGGAAATGGCATCAGCACAATTAACCGCTTTTGTGAAGGGAAGTTATACTCTGGGCAAAAACATCAGTGAAAGTCAGGTTGAGCAACTTGACTTCTTCCTTGGACGCTTCCTTGGACTCAACTTTAGGAGATCCTAATTTCTTAACAGGTTAAACACGCTCACCTTGGCATTCAAACATCAAGTAAACTAAAATCAGGTTTCAAAACAGAAAGTTAAGGTTTGTTTTCATTATATCTCCCTAAGTTAGCGCGGTTACCGCCCTGGGCGGTCGTAATTTGGCGCAGCTCAGGGATCGGGACTGCTGCGTGCGTCCCGACTAGGCCGCCCAGGCCGGGGGCCGGACGCCGCGCTCCCAGCTGCGGGCGCACAGGCCTCTCGGCCCGGGACGAACGGTCGTCACAGCCCCAGCTCGCCGAGTCCCGCGGGCGGGTGTCGATGCTGGGGGTTGGGGGGGGCAGAGGGACGTTTACCTGGGGCCGGTCCCCACTAGGTAGGTGTTGGTGCCCTGCAGGGTCATAGGACCCGGGTTACAGCCCAACACACGCACCACTCGACTGGACAGCCGCTCTACGCGCTGCAGCACGGCAGCCATCTCCGCCTCAGCCGCGCGCCTGACGTACCCGGCGGCAGAGCACAGCGTGGGCCAACCAAAAGGGCCGCGGGTCGCGAGCAGCGCTCACGTGACGCCGCGCGAGCCCGGGCCGGGGGCGGGGCCAGAGGTCACGTGGCGCCCCGCGGGCGGCGGTAGCGGGAAAGCTGGAGCGTGGCGTGAGGTGGCCTGAGGCGAGGCTGGCGTCTGGGCCCGTCACAGAGCTTTGGTGCCTCACGAGGGTTTGTGTACAGGCTGGCGAGTGCGTCCAAGTGGACTGGACACTTTTTAACCTGCGAGTCTTGGGATGGAGCCAGGACCAGGCAGGTTTGACGTTAGTTATCGAATACCAAGTACTGGGAAGGATTGCCCGTCAGGTTTTTAGGCCATAGTGGGGTGTGTTTGTGTGAGGTAGCCTGCTTATCTTATATAAGAAATAGCGGCAATTAATTTTTACTTAGCGCTTACTGCTGTGCTAAGTGCTTTAGGCCAAAGTCTCATTTAATCCTCAAAACAACATTAAGAGGTAACACTATTTTTTGTCACCATTTTACAAATGAAAAATGGAGATTGGGAAACTTGCCCAGGTGACAGAGCTTTGTGAACCCAGCTCTGCAGCCTGGTTTCTACCTGCCTTGCACCAACACTTGCCTCTGTCTGAGGAGAGCCCCAGAGCTTGCCTCTCTCCCTCCCTGTGCTGCCCAGGAAACTGGGTTGGTCTTATGGAGGAGTTTTATGCCCAAGATGAAAGGGACTTAATTTTTCTGTAACGAGTTCTTTTCTAATCAGGCAAGTATTAACTACTACTTCCCATTAAAAAGTTGAATTACAATTTACCTGAGAGAAAATGTAGAGATCCTGTAATCTCGTCGAGCTTTGAGTAACAATTGTATGTAATCATTACCCCAAAAGGGCTGTAGAACATACCACTATACCAGCCCACTCTTTTTAAAAAAATAAATGAGGAATTGACACATTGGACGCTTGATTCCAAAATTTAGGATAGGCTTTTTTTTTTTTTAGCGTACTATGGGGGTACAAGTGTTAAGGTTGCCCTCCTCCCTCCAGTAAGAGCTTCAAGCGTGTCCATCCCCTAAACGTTGCACATCTTGCTCGTTGTGGTTGTATATACTCCTCCCCTCCTCCCCTCCTCCCCCTGCCACCCTCCCGACACCCGATAAATGTTACTCCTATATGTCCACTTAGGTGTTGTAGGATAGGCATTTTTAACGTTCTTTTTTTTGGGTGGATATTTCTGAAGGAAAAACGATTTGCTATTAACATATTTATTTTACAAATCAGCAGCATAATTTTATGGATTAGTTGAATGACACCTGTATTATGTGTGAGAAATGTCTTTGCCTTGTTTCACAAAGATGTACTTTTAGTGGAAAAGTGTTTAAAAACCAATGCTGAAATAATCATATAAATTATTCCCTTTGCCATGGGAAGTTAAGCAATATACTTTTCAAAAATGCTGGGAGTTGGAGTAACCATCAAAATCTACGTCCTCTAGTCCTAGCACTTTGGGAAGCAAAGGCAGAAGGATCCCTTGAGGCCAGGAGTTCTAGGCCAGCCTGAGCAACATAGTGAGACCCTGTCTCTACAAAAAATAGAAAAATTAGCTGGGCCTGGTGGCATGCCTGTAGTCCCAGCTACTTGGGAGGATGAGCCAGGAAGATTGCCTGAGCCCAGAAATTTGAGATTGCGATGAGCTAGGATGCCATTGCACTCTAACCTGGGTGACAGAGTGAGAACCTGTTTCAGAAAAAACAAAAACAAAAAAAAAATACTTCAGGCATTTCAACCTACCAAGATGTATTTATAGTAGCCATTAATTAGTAGCTGTTCAGACAGGAAGCTGCCTCCATTCTCCTTTTTTAAGAGCTCTGTGGGAAAGTCAGTGAACCCTGGAGAAGAGGATAGAGTAGTGATTTCTGGACCATACTGCCCTTCGTGAGACTCTGGGTGGCTCCTTTCTCTTATTCTTTTTTTTTTTTTTTTGAGACAGAGAGAGTCTCACTTTGTTGCCTAGGCTAGAGTGAGTGCGGTGGCGTCAGCCTAGCTCACAGCAACCTCAAACTCCTGAACTCAAGCAATCCTGCCTCAGCCTCCTGAATAGCTGGGACTACAGGCATGCGCCACCATGCTGGCTAATTTTTTCTATATATATTAGTTGGCCAATTAATTTCTTTCTATTTATAGTAGAGACAGGGCCTCGCTCATGCTCAGGCTGATTTTGAACTCCTGATCTCAAACAATCTGCCTGCCTCGGTCTCCCAGAGTGCTAGGATTACAGGCATGAGCCACTGCGCCCGGACTCTCTTATTCTTTAGTTTTTTTTTTTATAATTAAAATTTCACTTGTGCTTTCCATCTTGATTTCATTATTCAATTGCCAAGCTCCTCATTTGGCAGTTGAAGAAATGAGCCCAACAAATGATTTATGTAGGGTTATACAAGGGGACTCTAGCTGGATAGCAGAGAGGGTAGATAGTGAATATAGTTTGGACAAGTTGAAATTGAGGGGATTGTGGTATATACAGATAAATAAATCTATAGACAGCTATATGGGTTGAGCTCAGAGGATAAATCTAGGCTACAGTTACAAAATTAAGTCTTTGTGGTTATGTTTAGCAGTGTGACTTGAAGTTTAAGTTAACCTACAAGAAATAAGACCAAAGATTTTTACATTCTGTTCAGTTACACTTGCAGTCATTTATTATTTGCCTAAAGCACACAAAGTATTGTTGTAGACATATTGAGAAGATATTAAAAATGAATAAATTGGTTTTTTTTTTCCTAGAGGGTCATAACCGTGAAAGAGACATACATGACCTTATTTTAAAGCACATAGAGGCTGCCTCATGCTTGTAATACCAGCACTTTGAGAGGCCGAAGTGAGAGGCTTGTTTGATTGAGGCCAGGAGTTGAAGACTAGCCTGGGCAACATAGTGAGAGCCTGTCTCTATAAAAATAAGAAAAATTAGCTGGGTGTGGTGGCATCTGCCTGTAGTCCCAGCTACTTGGGAGGCTGAGGTAGGAGGATTGCTTGAGCCCAGGAGTTCAAGATTACAGTGAGCTATGATCATGCCACTGCACTCCAGCCTGGGCAACAGAGCAAGACCCTGTCTCTGAAAAAAAAAATTATATGTGGGTAAATCTTAGAAGTATAGGTAATAAAGTGGTAGGATTGCAAGGAGGAATAGGGAGAATAATACTTACTGAGAAAATCTGGGAAAGTTTAAAGTTGGTGGGGTTTGAGCTGATTTCTTTTTCGCTTGAGACAAGGTCTTGCTCTGTCACCAAGACTAGAGTGCAGTGGCATCATCATAGCTCCCTGGAACCTCAAGTGATCCTCCTGCGTCAGCCTCCTGAGTAGTTGGGACTACAGGTGCATGTCACAGCACCTGGCTAATTTTTCTATTTTTTGTAGAGACGGAGTCTCTGTTTGCTCAGGCTGGCTTTAAATTCCTGGTCTTAAGCGATCTTCCTGCCTCAGACTCCCAAAGTGCTATGATTACTAGTGTGAGCCACCACACCCAGCCTTGAGCTGATTCTTAAAGGATTATTAGAACTTACCTGATAGATGGCACTTATTCTAGATAGTAGATAACCTTGATCAAAGGCTTGGAAATGGAAGAAAAGTAATGTTTATTTTAGGAATAGAGACCAATAATCACGTTCTTGGGGCATAGGGTTTGAGAAGGTATATAGGTCAAAATGTAGGTAGGATTAAGTTAATGATACTTTTTCAGGGTATTTCAAATTCAAGAATCTCTCTCCTTTTCAAACATGACTTGTTACCCACTGGGATATGCTGTTAGGAAAATTGTATTTTCCTAAGACTTAATTGACAAATACAGTGAAAGCTTGGAACCTCGTCACCCTATATGAGGAGCCATGTCATTTCTTCCCTTCAATGACATGGTTACAAAGGGTGTACTGTATTCACAGTGATACAGACTCTTATCACTAGATTGGAAAATGCCACATGTGACTAACAGGTGATTTCAGTTTCATTTTAGGATTCAGTCTTAGAGGTTTACACACCCTTTAATTGTACTTGTTTTCAGTGAAGAAGAAATAAAAGATTTATAAGATCAAGATTTTCCGGAAGAAACTTTGAGTTAAAGAAGGCTTTTAATTTTGACAACAAAGGTAAGTCTGTATTTTATATGTGTTAAATTTGGTCTACAAGTGAAAGTTTCTCAGCTTTTTTTTTTTTTTTTTAAATATCTACTTTATTGCAGAGAGATGTACAGTTGGCAAAGGTTGTGTATTTTGGCTGGCAGCCAGGTAGCCACGTAGCTAAGTTGACCTCTGAATAAAATTGGATTGAAACTGTCCTATTAAGTCAGTAAGTGTATGAAGTCTCCTATGAAGCCAAATTTTATAGGTGGCATCATTTCTCCTAAGGTGGTTTTGGAATTTTGATCAACTATAGAGATAGAGATGAACTGTCCTTAATACAAGTTATGTCACTATGTGGTTATTGAAAGAGCTCTGGGCTCTCTTTATGAGAGCAGCTATGTTTATTAGCTTGCTGTGTAGTTGTCCTTGCAGTTGGCATTATTTTCTTCCTGACTAAATTAGGAATATGGACATTGCTATATCAGATTAATCTACTGAATCTAATGCTCTGTCAACAACGCAATTCCTGTTTTTTAGAAATTGTTTTTCCTGTCTTATAAAACTTGACTCAAAACTGCTAGTGTTAGCTGAGTGTGATGGCATGCACCTGTAGTCTCAGATATTCGGAGGCTGAGGTAGGAGGATTGCTTGAACCTTGCAGTTTGAGACCAGCCAGGCCAACATAGCAAGACCTTATTTATTTATTATTTCTTCTTTTATTTTTATATAATATTTGAATTATTTTTATTCTTTTTTTCCCTGAAAAGCATCTCAAAAGATTATTATTATTATTATTTTGAGACAGAGTATCACTTTGTCGCCCAGGCTAGAGTGCCATGCGCCAGCCTAGCTCACTGCAACCTCCAACTCCTGGGCTCAGGTGATCCTCCTGCCTCAGCCTCCCGAGTAGCTGGAACTACAGGCATGTGCCACCATGCCCGGCTAATATTTTCTATATATTTTTAGTTGGC